TAGCGTTGGCCTCCAACCTATATAACAGGGATGGCCTCCAACCTACTGGCGATGGCCTCCAACCGAATAGCAAAAACCACCAAGTGGGTGGGTCAACTAGGTCAGGAATGAGGCCAGAAGAACGGGCTCAACGAGGCAGGTCAGTCAGCCAATTTAACAACAAACGGAAACCCAATGGCCATTGTAAATCATCTCATCTGCTATGCTGGTCTTCACATACCCACGTTCAATTTAAGACCAAAGCTACCCGGAGCTCCAGCCATGACAACCCACTACTCAAGAAGCAAGTATTGCTTTGAGATACTTTGAGTCGTGCAAGGGTCAGTTTGAATCGATGTTTTGCTTCCCCTCAACTTCAATCCCATCGCATGTACAAAAAGCAGATTCTAGCTGAAAACCCCAAAGAGACCATTGCAGTCCAAGATGCATTGTGCACCAAGAGCTGCAATGAGCCTGCAAAGAAGCAAAGTTCGTCAAGATTCGTTAAGAGTCGTAAGAAGAGTTTGATTCGACAGAAGCCTTGGCAGAAATCTTCTGTCGCTTGCGTCGCATCTTGGATGGAGGCCTGCCGATCGCGAGGACATGCCCTGCTGTCGTATTGCGCCGGATTTTCCAGCTTGTGTGGAATCTTACGAGTCCAATAGGAATTGTGGCAGCAAAATAGTTTGGTAGACATGCCCAGCCCGTGGATGAACCTCCTCAGTGAGATCCAGGTTCACCACCAAGAGTCTGTTGCTATACTGGGCCTTCAGTGCCTGCGAGCACCAAGCCCCACCAGACTGAGGATCCAAGCCCCAATCTGCAAGTGCTCTGAGAATGTCCGAAGGAACGTCAAAAGAAGCAGAGCACCCACAGTGGTGGCATGCGAAGGTACTTGCACCAGAGAGGATGCGTGTGGTTTTGAAAGAGTTATCTTGACATTTTCCTGAAGTCGCCTTGATTCTCCAAATCAAAACGCAGAACAATGCAAAATAAGAAAACAATAAACGGACCGATTAATACGTTTGCATAAGATAAGTTTTGTTCATGGTACTTTGAAACCAAGGGACACAACGTACAACAAAGGGTTGAAAGAGATCCGTGCCGTGGCAGCAAACATAAATGCTGTTCGACTTGACAAGTAAAAGCAAACCGTGAGATCATGCGCCTCCAAGGGCTCTGATACCGTTCGTGCAGCCGCCACTACGCGGCTTCCAGGGTTCTCTCGGAGAATCGCCTGTGAACAGCGCGATGAATGTGAAGCGAGATATCTTTCTCGAGCCTTGCCAAACATGTGGCAACTGCTTGTTGGGTGAAGATTCATGGTGGACTTGCGTGGGAAGGTGGCAAGTTCATTGTATGCAGACTCTTTCGCAGCTGTGTCGCCCTGGCCGAAACGTGTTTGACATTTTGTGTGTAAGTAACAGTCCTCCCACACAACACATTTTGGCAGTGGGCTCCTCGACGAGTGGGGGCATCGTCTGCCCCTGGGAGCCCCGCTAGAGGCACCGTGAGAAATTTGCCGCCATTCTCGATTGAGGCTGACATTAAGATCATTAAGCCGATTTTTTCAAGCGAGAAGGCCAAGTTCATGAGTCCTTTCACTAGTTCACGAGTTCCGCGATTCTTGAACATAACTCCGCCGTGATTCTTGAACCAACTAGGTTTAAGCAACCCCTCACTCTAGGTTGGAGGCCATCGCTACTAGAGTGGAGGCCACCGCTTAGGTTGCAGGCCATCGCTCTTAGGTTGGAGGCCATCGCTACTAGGGTGGAGGCCATCGCTTCTATAAACACCCTCACTCTGGAGCAAGAAGCTACTAGGAGCAAAGGGCATCGCTACTAGAAGCAAGAACGCTACTAGGGGCTCCTGGCCTTACTACTAAGAGCAAGAAGCTACTAGGAGCAAAGGGCATCGCTACTAGGAGCAAAGGACGCTACTAGGGGCTTCTGGCCTTACTACTAGAAACAAGAAGCTACTAGGAGCAAAGGGCATCGCTGCTAGGAGCAAAGGACGCTACTAGGGGCTCCTGGGCTTACTACTAGGAGCAACAAGCCACTAGGAGCAACTAGGAGCAAAGGACGCTACTAGGGGCTCCTGGCCTTACTACTAGGAGCAAGAAGCTACTAGGAGCAAAGGGCATCGCTACTAGGAGCAAAGGACGCTACTAGGGGCTTCTGGCCTTACTACTAGAAACAAGAAGCTACTAGGACCAAAGGGCATCGCTACTAGGAGCAAAGCACGCTACTAGGGGCCCCTGGCCTCACTACTAGGAGCAAGTAGCTACTAGGAGCAAAGGGCATTGCTACTAGGAGCAAAGGACGCTACTAGGCGCTCCATCGGTACTAGGAGGAAAGGACGCTACTAGGGGCTCCTGGCCTTATTACTAGCTACTAGGAACAAAGGGCATCGGTACTAGGAGGAAACGCTACTAGGGGCTCCTGGCCTTAGTACTGAGAGCAAGAAGCTACTAGGAGCAAAGGGCATCGCTACAAGGAGCAAAGGACGCTAGCTACTAGAAGCAAAGGGCATCGCTACTAGGAGCAAAGGACGCTACTACGGGCTCCTGGCCTCACCACTAGGAGCAAGTAGCTACTAGGAGCAACGGGCATTGCTACCAGGAGCAAAGGACGCTACTAGGCGCTCCTGGCCTTACTAGGAGCAAGTAGCTATTAGTAAAAAAGAGAGCCTCCCAGCGCCTCCCGTCCATACCCACGCGCCTCCCGTCTCGCGCCCCTTTCCTTCCATCCACAGCCCCGTCCACACCCATCTTCCGTCCACGACAACGCTTGCTTTGTCTCGCTCTTCCGCGGCACTAGCGACTAAACGAGAACCCAGTGTTGGTATTTCCCGTGTGGCACGCCTGCACCAAGGCCAGGCCGATCCCACGACTGCCACCTGTCCTAGCGCTTGGACCATTGAAGTCAACAGAATACAGCTTAGGCGACCCCTAAGAATCTGGCATCATGTTTCTTTATAACGCTGGGATCAGTATTGATAGATGCATCTGAGTTGACGAAGCACATCGTGTGGTTTGCGTCATCTCTCAAATCCTGCATCAACCCTACGCGCTGCGCGGGTCGTGTGCTGAGACAAGCACACAAAGGCCGACATGGCACCACGTTTTGTGGCAAGGGAAGTCACTGGTGGAAATGTATACGAATCTGCAACACAAGTCACAAAATGTTAGCATATTGAAGAGCAAATCCCAAACAACAGAAATTCAAAAGATTTATGGCAAACATGGCTGGATCCTAAAGAAGTTTATGTGGTTTGATTAAACGAACTAGGTCCAAAAGCATGTGGACTCAAACACATTGTGTACGTGACAAACTCAACCTGCTGCTTGGTTGAAAACCATTTTTGCCAGCTTTGTTTGATGCACACTCTCTTATGTCGTGCTTGAATTTTCAGAGCACCGCGAAATATGGCTGACATGAATTTGGCCAAGGTGGACCAGAAACCCAATCGCGTTGAGTGAAGGTCAAAATTTGTGGTGGAGATGCAGGTCATCAGGATTTGGTAAGTGTATTATCGTTGTTCATGTCCGTCATGTTATTGTTTTTTGGTGAGTGCGTTATCTTTCTTGAGCGAAATATCCCATGACTTTTATCACTTCACTAATTTTGAGCCTAGCTCAAATGACCGGGCAACGCATGTGTATGACCGCATGCAGCCTCTAACGCAAACACTGTTGCTTTGCCAATTCAGCTGCAACTCACTCCAAATGATGATCATCTTTTCCTTGTTGACATTCAAAGGAGACCACAATAAACCAGGCCAGTGCTCAATTGGGCAACACAAATGGTGGATACCGCTTTGCTCTTGCAAGTCAAACCGCCAAGGCAATACTATTTTGAACAAGAATGTTCCCCAAAACAATGTGTTCGCTGTAAGCTCTTACAACAAGAGCTGAGTTTGCTTGAAAGCGCACTCCATGCTAGAGTTACACATCTTGCACAGAGTCACAGAATTTATGGCGCCCGCACTTTGCTGTTTCCTACGGCTCTCGTTATTTCGCGCATTTGACCTACCTGGTCACTACCTCCCACCATCTACCATTGCCTCCATCCACCGTCAGTGTGAAGACCTGCATCCATTGCATCATGGATCCATTCGCATTGCATTTGCAATGCTTGTTGTTCCTGAACCTGGGAAGTGTTTGTGTGCAACTTTCGTTCGAAGCTGCTCTGAGAAACCACGCCATCTTGGGGCCAGGTCTCCTGCTGTTTCCCTTCGTTCGTCTCCCTTTGTCTCATTGTCACTCTTTGTCTCGATTCATTTGTCTCCAGGTTGGTTGTCTCTTGTTTTATTCTGGTCGCAGAACGCACCAAAGTCAAACGGACCAACTAGGACCTAGCAGCTCGCTCCTCTACAGAGCAGGTCCCAGAGCTCAAAGTGTCCCCTTCGTTTCCCTCTGTGCTTAGCCTCGACGAATAGGCTTCGAAGGGGAAACACATGTGGACCAAGAATCTTTGCGACTCGAAACGTGATCAGGCCACTGTCTCTGCAGGTAGGCCCCAATCTGTTTGCTCTCCTGATTTACCACGCGTGCAGGGGGATGTCCAAAAACAGGAAGGGAAGTGAGATGAAAACATGAACAATCCTGTCAATTCAGCTCTGGATTTCAACTGGAAATACAGCCGTCAAACCAAGGTGATGGAAAGCCACAGAACAAATTGACAATTTGTATAAGATTTTGGATACATCTTTCTTGGCAAGCGTCAATGCAAGTGACAAGAGAGATAAGACCATGAAAATAAAATTCTGAGATTGCTCAAAAAAAGAAACTAGACAACGGTTGGCCCGAGAGCGGGACATGTAATTGTCCAGCACTGTCGAAAAGATGTATAGAAAGAGAGAAAGAGAGGGTGGATGTGCAGGTGCGATTTAGGTCTGTAGATGTATGGAGGTGGAGAGGTAGATCGGTGGATGTGAGCGTGCGAAGATGTAAGTGCACAGGGACGAGAGAAAAGATATGTAGGAAAAAAGAAAGAAAGACAGGACTGATGTGAAGGAGCGACAGTGTGGATGTACAGATGTGATATAGATGTGCAAATGTGTGGGTGTGGTGAGGTGGAGAGGTAGATCTGCGGATGTGAGCGTGTGAAGATGTAAATGTAGAGAGGTGAGGGGGTGTAGACGTAGATGCGTCGATGCAACGGCAGCGCAACGGCAACCTTAGTTGTGCAAGTACAACGCTCGCTGAAAAGGCTCAACTAGAACTGAAGAACGTACATGTCACACTGAAATTTCCACGAACAGGGCGACCTGAGAGTAAACGACGTCACGATCATGACAAGCGACTCATGTATTCCAAGCGAACATCGTTTGTCATGAAGGTGAAGTACACACATACTAATGTCACGATGACTCTTTTGTGGCAGCCACTTATGAGTAAGCAAAGTAGCTAAAATTTGTCAACCTCTCAAGAGAGCCGGGTGGTCGGGAGACATGACTCAGCTGCAGGGGCGCCAGCGCAGCCGCGAGAGATGACTCAGCCGCGAGAACTGGTGACTTTGTAGTACAACTTTAGTACGCGGAGCAATCTGTGGAGCTGGAAGCTGAGAACTGGCGACTTTGTAGTGCAACTTGAGTACGCGGAGTATCTGGGGAGCTGGAAGATGAGAACTGGCGACTTTGTAGTACAGCTTTAGTACGCGGAGTATCTGGGGAGCTGGAAGATGAGAACTGGCGACTTTGTAGTACAACTTTAGTACGCGGAGCAATGTGACGCTGCCAGTTCTCAGCTTCCAGCTCCACAGATTGCTCCGCGTACTAAAGTTGCTACAAAGTCGACACGCACGCTCTCCGCAGAGGGTTGCGCCGGACCGGGCCAAAATGCACTCTCGCCTCCATTTCGCGCCCTCGACACGCACGATCTCCGCAGAGGGTTGCCCGCGCCAAATCCAAAACGCACTCTCGCCTGCATTTTGCGCCCTCGACACGCACGATCTCCGCAGAGGGTTGCGTTTCGTGGTGCTCCGGCGGCACTGCCCCCGGCCTTAAGAGAGAAAGTAAAGAAGAGCGAGAGGTGCAGATGTGAGATGTAGATGTGAGGATGTGAAGATGAGCAGAGATGATGTGAGGATGTGAAGATGAGCAGAGATGTAGATGCGCAGATGTGAACATGAGCAGAGATACACTGGCCAGAAGAAAGTTGCGCTTCTTGATGTTGAAACTCATGACA